ATCACTTAATGGAAAAGGAAGGGAGGAGAAGAAAGTGATACCCTCAGAAAGAAGAGAATATAAATGTATATATATATATATATATATGCAGATGTGTCTTTGAATTAAAGTCTCTTACATATTTCCTGTGTATATTTACATTTATGATTCCTCATCAATATCAAGTTTAAGTATCTATACCTTCCCTTTGCAAACAGTATAGGACATTTAATTTGTTTTACTTTCTTTCATCTTCAATGTTCTGTTGAAATTTTTGTAATACAATCGTATGTGTAGTTTTCATTTCTTGTGACTTTGGTTTTCCCTCCTTGAGGTTAAATTAAACTTAATAAGCAGAAACTATATGTATTTAATATACCTTTTTATTGTTTATTGTATTCTTGGGATACATAATGTATAAATATAATTTTATTTAGTACTCTCTTCCTTTCTTGGATTCTGAATTCTGACATAATTTTTTATTTGTTTGGAGAAGTTCCTTAGGTTTTATGCAGGAGAGAATACATTGATGGTGCCTTTTGAGTCAGTTATCTGCTGAAAATGCCTGTCCTTTTCTCCGTAATAGTGTGGCCAGCATAGAAGTCTAGGGCTATCGTCTTTTTTTAGATCAGGTAGGACCTCGATGGTGTCCGATTCTGGTTATTGCTGTGGCCATCATTTTCACTCTTAACACTATTTGTAAAAATTGCATATGAATTAATTGTCTCTTGCATTAATTTGTTTTATGTCAAGGTCCATTTATTCTGATGACTCGGTTTGGTTATTAGCCTCTCTTGAATTGCTTAGTTGGCCCATGACATTTCTTTTGTTTTCAGCTTATGTTTTCCACCTAGCCCTTCACAGTTTAGCAATGCACCTCATGTTTTCCCATCTATGTGTGCTGTATAGATGCCAAAACTTCATTCATTATATAAAAACTGTAAAATAAAGTATTTATTTTTAAAAATGCACTTATTAGTAGACCAATTAAATGAAAATAAGACCCCCCCCCCGCCCAAAGTCTGTTTAAAGAAACAACCTAAAATATTTCTAGATGAAATCAGGGTCTGGGCTGGGCTGCCTGGGGAGTGAGGAGGCAGCTCTGTAGATTTGATGAGGAATGTTTCCACTTGGATTTGGAATACAAAATATATCAAGAGGTTACACTGTGATATGGAGCCTGTTTTGTTTTAAAATTTTTGGGGGCAAATGAGAATTGGCGTTTACAGTTGCATGCTGACCCACAGGGGCAGGGTCTTCTTTCCTTTCTTTGCCAGACACCTGTTATGTTCCTGTTATGTTCCTTCCAACAAAATGCCCACACTGCCTTGAGAGCTGTCAGAACCAAGTGGAGTCTGTGGCCAAGCCATGTTGCCCATAATCACCCTTTACCTTGCCTCTCTGAGTCTATACTCTGTTTCTTCATTCTGGGTTTATTTTTATTTTTACATTTCCCTCCATATCCCGTAATTTTTAAAAAATAATTTCTTTATTTGTATATGTTTTACATCAGCTGTAGCCCCAGAGAACTCCCACCAGCAATTCACCTGTTTGTCATCACCTCAGTCCCTTGTGCTCTTCCTGCAGGTGTTTTATATCTTCTCCCTTCTCCTCCCCTGCAAAATGTTTCTGAATTACTGCTGTTTTTTTATTCTGTTTAGTTTGGGCCTACCTCAAATTAAAACACTTCTGTGCAGCAAAGGAGACATTAACCAAAACAAAGAGGCAACTTAGTGATTAGGAGAAAATTTTTGCACTTCACACAACTGACAAAAGACTGATCACAAAGATATGCAAAAAATTCACAGGATGCAAGAAAAGCAGAGTAAATAATCCAATCAAAAAATGGACTTTAGGACTCAAAAGAACTTCTCCAAAGACAAAGTGCAAATGGCCAACAGACATGAAAAAATGCTCAACATCCCTCAGTTGGGAAAATGCAAATCAAAACCACAATAAGATACCACCTTAAGCCAGTAAGAATGGCACATACTTAAGTACTAACAAATGCTGGGAGGATGTGGCACAAAAAAAAACTCTCCTACATTTCTGGTGGGAGTGCAAACTAGTATCCCTTAATTTATCGCCTGTTAGTATCTCACTGGCTTCTCCTTTATTATAGTCCAAGAAATTTTCACAGAGTTCCTGGTTGGTGATACCCATCTTGTTTTCCATTGTTGTATAGTTTACTTGTCCTATTTCTTTTTTCTTTTTTTTTTTTTAATATTTATTTATTTGTGCATACAGAACTGGGGTACAGGCCAGAGATTCAGGGGTGGCGAAAGACTTCACCAGAGACAGAGTGGGGAGCAGAACAGGCAGATCGATGAAGTACACTGCTGAGGGGAGCAGCGGGCGGGTCAGGAGAGGTCTGCCGCGCCATGTGGTCACCTCCATGGCAGGTGGGAATCGAACTCATGCCGAAGTGGCTTTAGATTCTCAGTGCAGTGCTTTAACCCGCTGCACCACTAGGGAGGGCCTGTCCTATTTCTATATAAGACTTAAGGTGAGAACCCTGGTTCAAGATTTGAACTGTAACCCAGGCTGAAACTGGAATTCCCTGTTTTCAAACAGACAGATACTATTACTTCCAGAAGGGCAACAATTCATTGAGAGGGGTAGAAAAGATATATTAGCACCATCACTCCATCACTAGCACTGGCAGCTGGCTTTCTGTCAGGAGCAATTTTTCATCAAGAATTGTTTTATCACTGCATAAGAATGATCAAGTACCTTTAGAATCAGGTTAAAAAGCACATGGATGGCAGGTGGTCAGCTTGGCTTAGTAGCTAAGTGACTTGAGGAAGGCTTCATATGCAGGAATACAAATTGTCTTTTATCATAGATTGCTGGCATGCTATGGCTACATGAAATGTAAATATTAAATAATTCCTCACTGTTCCTTTCATTAGAAAATGAGTCACTGTCATGTCCTCCATTGTACCCCCGAAGCCTAGCAGAGTACCTGGCATACCACGGACATTCAGGAAACTTTGGCTGATACAATGCAAATATTAATGATGGGCAGAAAAGTGAAACCTGGGAAGAATCCTTGTTGCTCCTCCATGTAATGGACCATAGTAAGGATAGGTAGGATGTTGTTTTTGTTTGTTTTAATTTTGCATAGAAAAACTGGGGTACAGGCCAGAGGTTCAGGGGGTGAGAGGATTCACCAGAGACAGAGTGGGGAGCAGAACAGGCAGACTGACTGAAATGCACTGCTGAGGGAAGCAGCAGGTCAAACAGGGGAGGTCTGCTGCACCATATGGGGACTGAACTCAGTCATTGACAGGATAGAATTTAAACCTTAGGCCACCAGGGAGGCTCCAAGTGTAGTGAATTAACACCACCACAGTGCCAGAAATAATTTCAAGTTGCTGTTCAGCATCTTGAACAGCATCTCTGACTTTCCTGTATGCTGGGATCGAAACTACAGGGGTTTGGCTTTGAGAGTTGGGAGCACAGCCACTGAGCATTGCATTACCCCAAGTTCTGGCTGTAGTCACAGCTTCAAGTAGCAGAGGCTCTTACGGACTTGACAGCTTGTGTCTGCTGACGTCAATGGCCAGTCTTTGTGTTTATTTGAATGTGTGATTTTTAGGCCACCCATGTGACAGATTGGAAATACCCCTTGAGAACAGCCTTCAAATCAAGGGCTGAAAGTAGTTGATAGAATTAGCCCAGGCCATGGCCCCTCAGGTAGAGTGGCTTTGAGCTGTGTGCCACATCCCCTGCCTGCTTAATCCCCAGCCCTCAAGTAGTAACTGGCTTGGTCAAGGCCCTTTTACTGACTGGCTTCCCTCCTCACACCCTAAATCCTGTATTTGTGTTCTTTGCTTCTAAACAGCAGCTTTCCTTTGAAATACTGTCTCAGGCTCTGTTGCTGGGGACATGGAAGCCACAGCAGTCAGCCCCAGGGCCCAAGTGCTTGTCCGCAGAGGACTGGAACCATCTTGCTTAGACCCTTGCAAGTGAATATCAAAAGTAGGGGAAAGTATTCTATTTCTCTTTTTAAAAGTTGTCACAGTTATCAAACTCAAGGGTTCTGTTGCTTGGATGTGTTGGCCAACAGACCGGATACAAGTTTGTTGAAGAAAGAATATGATGGAGACAGGAAATAAGTCTCCAAAGACTGCCTCCAACATGAAGTTTTGAAAAGGTTTTTAAAAGAGGGGAAGGGTTGAAGGAAGGTGAAAGGAGCCTTTGGTCATTGGGTGGTGGAGGCCCAGGGCAGTGTTGGCATCTGTGCCGGTATAGGGAGAGGACACGCTTCCACACAGGCCACACGTCAGGAACGTGGAGGTTCAGCTCCTCTGCTGGGTAGAGACTTGTACACTAGTGAGGCTGGTGGCAGCTTCAGGTCTCTTGGGGTGCCATGACATGTGTTTTGGGTTCTTCCTGCCCTGGCCAGGTGCTCAAAGTGAATAGGGATAGCTGGATACTGTTATCAAGAAAAGCCGGAAGGCTGTTAATGTAAATGAATCAGGTGACTTTGCTTTCAGGTAAATCTGATTGCCCTGCTAGGAGTCAGGCAATCAAGTGCTTTAACCACTGTCTTCCCTGTTCTCTGAATCCTAAAATTAACTGGCTTACCCATTTCCTTCCCTGTTTTCTGAGGTCCTGGTTTGATATTACTTAACAATTCCTGAATTATATCCTCCAGCTCTCTGAGATGACACAGTAGTTTTTAAGGACAGTTGAAACTGCCCTGCTCACAGAACATTACTGACTTTTATTTCCACAGGAGCGTCTCAGTGACTTGCGGGGCATTTGTATTCCCTTGCTATAGCAAGTTATCGTTTGTAGTTTCTAGGTGAGGCCTGCATGTTACCGCCTCTGAACTTGTGTGTGTGTCCTCGTTCTCCTGGCTGCAGTGTCGGATGGCCCAGCGGCACGCCCCGCGCTGGCCTCCACAGTGGCTCCTCGGATGAGTGGCTGCAAGGGTCGTTGTGTCCACACCACGTGATGGGAGGGCACGGAGGGAGCAATCACACTGACCTTTCATCTTTGCTTCTTTGCAGATATCTCAGTGAGCCTCCTGACCCTCGTGGTCACTGCCTGTGGCCTCGCTCTCTTTGGCGTGTCTCTCTTCGTGTCTTGGAAACTCTGCTGGGTTCCGTGGCGAGAACGAGGCCTGCTCTCTGGTAGCAAAGACAACAACCAAGAGCCTCTTAACTACACGGACACAGAGACCAATGAGCAGGAGAACAGTGAGGGTTTCCTAGACCCTCCCACCCCCTGTCCTGACTCCTCCATGAAGATCAGCCACACCTCCCCCGACATTCCCCTCTCAACCCAGGCTGGGGGACAGGAGAACTGTGCCCATGGCGTCCGAGTGCAGCGCCAAGTCACAGAGCCAACTTCATCGGCTCGGTCAGTAACGCCTCCTTCGTTTCTGGGTGCATGATGAGGAGTGCCCTCAAGCCCCTCTGTTGGCAGCCATGGCTTTGATGAGCCAAGCTGCTTGTAGCTTTACAATCATCTTATTGTCAGAGATGTCAGTATGGGAATGCCTGGTGCTTGCTCTGTTCCTATTAGGCTACCGAGCTCTGCTCCATCTCTGCTTAGTCCATGTTCATAACAGGAAACTCACCCTTCAAATGCTAGCTAAGACCTTTATGCGCACTATTTTAGTACAGTTCACAACTTCGTGTGAGACGGGCCTCATTAGCTATCATTTTCACTTCCCAGAAGAACCAAGTCAGTCAAGAGGATTAAGTAAAAAGTCATATATTGATAAGCACCTAGGTCAGGGTTTGAATCCTGATTCAAGCACACCAGGGCCTGAGCTCTTGCCCACTCTCCCATGCTATCCTCCTCCTGTCGTATTTATTCTCTGTGCTGCTGCTCTGGCTTAGTGTCAGACTCACTTAGGGCCACACAGAGTGGCTGTGGGTTTAAGTCTTAAATAGCCTTTGAGCGATTTAAAGATTCACTCTCTTTAAGGCCTAAGGTCACTCTTTCTATGTAGGAGGCTTTGTGCTTTTAAGCAGATAAGAAACAATACTCTGCTGTCATAAGAAGCAACAGCTCTGTGACCAAATGAACTGGCTTTACCTTCATGATTGACATTGGACACTTGTATCCATGTCCTTTCCTGTAAGAGAGGGATAATGATAGACCCAAATGTAGGTGATTTTTTAAAAAATATTTATTTATTTATGTGTACAGAACTGGAGTACAGGCCAGAGGTCGGGGGTGGTGAGAGGACTCACCGGAGACAGAGTGGGGAACGGAACAGACAGAACACTGAAATACACTGCTGAGGGGAGCAGCGGGTGGGTCAGGAGAGGTCTGCCACGCCATGTGGGTCACCTCCTTGGCCGGGGATCGAGCCTGCTCTGAAGTTGCTGTAGCTTTTGCAGTGCTGTGCTTTAACCTGTTGCACCACCAGGGAGGGCCCATGTAGGTGATTTTAAGAATGAAACAGTTAACAAGTGCATTGTGTGCTCTGCATAAGCCTGCACCTGGGAAAGGCTCTGAACAAGAGCCACCATTTTGCCACCAGCATTGCTCTCCCAGGACTCAGAGGTTGTACAATGGCGGCTCCAAGGTCAAACAGCCAAGTCTGAGTCACCGACAGAAAATTCATTTTCAGTAAGATTCTTCAGGAAAATAGTCAGAAAGCAGCTTTCTTGCTGGAGTGCTAGCCAGAGGAGTTGTAAGTGCTGTTATATGGAAAGTACAAGCACAGTTTGGGGGTATTTCTTTTAAATTTTTTTTTAATTTGTGTTCTAGAGCAAAGATAAAATTTTGCCCATTTTAATGTTAATCGAGTTTCTCCTAGAGTCTTTGCTCATTCACTTTAAGTAGGATGGAATAGCATAGTTTATAATTTAACTTTTTCAAAACCCTATTTTAGCATCGTTTCCAATTCTGAATCAAAGAACCAAACCTAAAATATTCCTCTGTGGGGAAATGGATGATTGTTTGCCATTTGATTTAGAAGAAATCCTCAGATTTTATCAGTAGGATTTCTCTTCAGATTTAAGACTTAAATATAACTGGGGCTCTGTTTGACGCTGCCATGGAGTTCGTGCTGTGGTGCAGGCTCATGATAAAATCCTTTCAGTACTTCAATAGCTAGAGCCTTTCAGATGGAGTCTCTGTTGAAATTATCTCCTCTTCTGTCTTCGTCTGCATGTTAATTTTTCTCATCTGGGTTCTCTCAGTCCAGGGTGATGGTTCTGTGTTTTTATTAGATTGTGGATCTGAGCACTCTGCCATAATTCTAATGAATTCATAGCAATCATAGCACTGTAATCGCTACATTATTTATTTTGGAAAAATGTGTAAGTATTCTGCATATCAAGAAGTGTATTTCACTAAAAAATAAAAACTGATAGCTTCACCACTGCTTTGTAGGAATGAAGTAGATGGGAAAAAAAAATAAGAAGAGGAGAGTAAAGGAATTATCTCTGTAAAATGAGTTTTACTTTTAGATTGATTTTAGTTTTGGAGTCACTCAATTAAATTAATTTTTTTCTTGGCCAAAATCAAGTTTAGTAACATCTGAATTATCATTAGAAAACTAAACTCGTTCTAGCTTCTTTTGAGCTAACGCTGATCATTTACATCATTATACATTTGAAACATTCTTATCTAAATTACTGGTGACCTAGTTTTATGGCTTATGTCTGGATATACATATCCTTGACTCATGATCATACCAAAATAAGAATGGTAGTTGGTCTTCCTATTCTTTAGGGATTGTGTTATATTATAAATAACATATACACACACATGCACACAAGTAACCTTCTTACTGATAAAATAGGGAAAATGAATGAAATTTTCTTCATGCTCCAAAACATTTTTAACATTCTTTTTAAAGAACATTTTTGATACCATATTTGGAGAGGGGGAAGGTACTGTTTGCTAAGATGGCTCTAAAAGTCTGCTCTTCTAGTTATAGTTTCTTCTCCCCTCTTTCTCCTTATGTGCCTTACTTTCTCACCAATGTCACTTCCTTTCTTACAGCTGCCCTCCTGTAGTTATTATCATTTGCCTGAAGTCCCTAGGATACCCTTCAGCTCAGAGGATATGATATCAGGGCATCCCCACTGTCACTGCCACTGAGTGGCTCTGTCTCAGCCCTTACTCCGGAAACCCCGTCTTCTCCCCTTTAGCTCAGGCATGAGTGGCGCACAGAGATGTCTTATGGAAAGTCCTGACAATGAGCTTTGTTTCATCTTCTATGAATATTTCTAGTCAGGATGACTTTGTTCTACCAAGATCAAGCATGTTAGCATTCTGTTTCTAATTAATTCAGTTACTATCAGGAACCCCTTCCCTCCACTTCCAAATCACCAACCTCTCCCTACCCCCCAAATAAGTCCTGCTAGTTCTTTTCAGTTGGGATAGAAACACTTGTGCATAATGACGTAATATCTTGGGAATGTGGATTTTTCAGAATTTTTTAGCCTGTTTTTTAAACCCAAATTCCCCTTGTTACACCTTGGCTTTATAAAAATGTCAATTATTTTACCACAAACTGCTTATGGGGTCTGTTAACATCCTATGCGATATTGTCACAGTCTTCTAGCACTGTCAGCCTCATCACCTTATGACACAACCCAGAGGACTCTGTAACAAGGACCCAGCAGCAGATTTTCTACCCAGAAAATCTGTCCATCACTGTCCATCTTCTTTTAGTTCCTTCAGTATCCCAAGCCCTTTTCTGCCTGAGGGCTTCACACGTACTGTTCCATCAGCCTGGAATGCATTTCCTTTTCCTTTGTCATGCCCGGATCCTTTGCAGTTTAATGTCCTAGCTAAAATGTCACCTCCTCAGGTAGGTGTCCCTGTTCACCCTACCTGAAGTATCTGTTCTTTCCTCCACCTCCCCCACCCACCTCTTAATTCTCTTACATATTTCCTTGCTTTTCCCTATTCCCAGGATTGAGCTCTTAATAAAGGATTGTTTTATGTGTTACCTGTACCCCGCTATTGACAGAGTTCTGTGAGCTTAAGACCACATTTGTTTTGCCTCTCCTATATGTAACCCCAAGTGCAACTGTGGCACATAGAAAAATTTTTTCGTGAATGACAGAACACATGGGATAGTGTCAGCCCACTTTGTTTATGTTCTGGTGACAAGAATGGCAAAGGATCAAAACATAAACTGGGTAGGATCTCAAATGACGTGAGGCTGGCAGCTATCACTTCATTAACAGCCTTACATTTAAACTTTGACCTCACCCTGAACTAGGCAATCTTTAGAGTCACAGAAATACACTGAGAATTTAAAGGGGAGTCACCACACTTGAAACTGGGGTCTCTATGGCCACAGCTCCAGTAAAAAGGAGTACTTTAGGATTAAATGTTATTACTCTGTGGGGAGGATGAAATATTATTCCTCTAAGTGTAGCACGATTCTATCAAGTTACATTTTTGTTTGCTGACAGCATTTAAAGCAGCAAACTTTAAATTACTCTTTTAGTTATACCTTCCCCATTTAATAAACCGACAGCTTCAAAATGGAAATTGCCTAGACCCCTTTCAGTTTCCATGAAACCCTGCAGTTAGAGGTAAATGTATATTTTCTGTACTGTAATTTGATTATAGAAAACTTTTGTCCATGGTAGTTTTATGTTTACCCTGACACATGTAATAAGCATCTGCTCTGGGCAAAGTTCTGTATTATGTGCTGGAAAGAGAGAAGATATGTCCTTTGACTAAAGGGCCCCTGTCCAGTTGGGGAAATATATAAGAAGAACACCAATTACACATACTAACGGCTGAAATTGTTCCTTGGAAGAGTAATCTGGCATACAAGCATAAGATGCATAGGAAGGAGTAAAGACTGGATATGGAGGTCAATTCAGGCTTGTTATGATGAAATGGAAAGGGGCCTGGAGAAAGTGTTGGTGGACAGTGGCTCATCCCAGTCATGGGATAAAATATTTAATGATAATACCAGGGTTTCAAGTCTGTTTCACTTGGGAGGGGGTGGGGAAAGCAGGTCATGCTTCAGCATGTAACTGTCCACAACCACACCTCCACTGGCCAAGGCCTGGTGGCTGTGTCTTCATTCTCTCAGTCATGAAACCTCTGAATCTCAGGCCAAGAACCACACTGTCGTTGGCCAAGGCCTGATGTCTGTATCTCATTTACTCACGAAATCTCTGAATCCCAGACCAAGAACACCTCAGATTCCCATTTACTCCTTCATTGTATGCATCTTTCCTTGTCTTACACTTACCCTTCTTCTGTGTTTCCTTCCAGTTCAGGATGGCCCCATCCTCTCCTCTCTCTCACCAGTGTATTTCAAATGCCCCTGTTTTGAACCTAGTAAAGAAATCCTTGGTGCTTCAGAAACCACAGTTTGCCTCCCTCTTTCCTAAGCTTGGAGCCTGGGGCCCTGTCAATATGGGTGCCCAGAATCAGGAATAAGATAGGCCAGGTTTTATTTCACTGCTGGGAGGGGGCTCACTGAGATGGGAAGGGGTGTGGTGTAGAAGCACACACACTTGTGTGAGGTTGCATAGGAAACTCAAAGAGGGAAGGGATGCTGGAGAGGCTGAGTGCTGCCCTACCCAAGGCTGGATGGGCGAGCTCATGGGCATATGTGAGGAGGAAGCTGTTGAGGAAGAAGAGTTGAAGGTGCCATTTTGCTAGAGAGCTGAGAGCCAAAACAAAAACTTAATTTCCCTACTGAGATTTCGATAAGTATGGAAACGGATGAGTCTCAAGCCCAGCTAAGGAGGCAGACTCACTCAGGTCCTATCTGTTTTGTGTCAACATGCCTCAGTCAGTAGATAATTTGTGTTGTGACCATACTGGTCCTTGTGGTCTTTATTGATTACAAGATGCCCTCATTATAACCACCAGGAGACTTTGTGGAAATAGAGGTTTATGACTTGTAAGACTTTAAGTTACACAGCACAGATGGGCCACAGTAATGTTGATTGGTGGGCAAGAGTGGGTGGCACTGCAGGAGAGGAGTAGGGAGAGAGAGGAGGGTAGAGGAAAGAGAAAATGCGCTTGAGGTGCTGCTTTTATTGGGGTCAAGGATGGGAGGTCTAGCCTTTCCAGGCCTCACTCTTTAATGGTGAATTTAAATCGTAAGAGTGGGAATTTGAAGCACTGGAAGAGAGAAAGCAAAAGAAAACATTGTAAGTGGTCTCAAATGGTCAGTTATCTAAAACAACTAGGATCTATAAAGCAAAGGTGTCCTAGTGCAGAGAGGCGCCTGACTCTTTATCTCCTTGTTAGCCTGGTGGTGTGTTTACTTGAGCTCACCCTCTTTGAAGTGGAAACCTGGCATCAGAGCTGAATTCAGCCTCTTCGATCACCAAAAGAAAAAGCAGCTCTCAGACTTTACATCTTACGGCTATAGGACCGGTTCCTAGGCAAAGGCCTTTCTCTCCCCCATTCCACTTCTGCAGTATTCTAGTCTCCAGTGGCTTCTTATCCTCCTCCGCTCTGCTTTATAGTTAGTGTCTGACTATATCAGCATCCCCTGGCCAGTCACTGCCTTGAGGTTGGTGCCTAGACTCTTCCCTACTTTGTTTTCCACCTGACCAGACCCTTTGCTTTACCCATTGAAACGTGTTGAATGGCATTAGTGTCCTTTTTCCTAAGATTTGATAAAGGCAGTTGGGTTTTTGGGTGATGAAACAAGGACCAAAGCTTTTTTTGAGGACTCAAGTGGGACATAGGAACTGGTAGACAAATTTGGAGACAGGAAAAAGAAAAGCCCTTTCAGCTCTGTGCTCCACCTCTCCCGACCCTTGGTCACAATTCAGCACAAAACTCAGATGGCCTCAGGGATGACAGTGTGGGCTTTAGTTGATTAGGGGACATCTGCTACATAGATTGTATTAGTCATTGTTGAAACTAGAGTTTTTTTCTGGGCTCAACCACCAACCTTCTAGCACAGGTCTGGGACAGACAAGTCCAGTCTTTAAGTCCTCTTCCTTATCTTTTCTATAACAGGAAAATGGCCTCTGCTTGCACTGAGGGAGCATGGAAGAGGGAGGACACTGTGGGCTTCAACCCCGGCAAGCCAGCTTCCTAGGACATTAGTGTTTCACTTATTCACAGAGGGCACATCACGAGATTTCTGAGTCACTCTTGGTCCTCAGAACTCATCTCTCCTCCCATTCACTGTGCACATTTAAGCCCTAACACTAAATTCAGGACTATTTAGAAGACTGTCTGCTTCAGGCACCACCACACACAGTATCACTCAGCAGCATCAAGATTCTAGACCCACTGAGGAGCCTCTAAATTATGCTCTCCAGGACCATCTCCATAGACCATTTTGTAACCACTTCATCTGAGGGGAGGGGAGCCAGACACGGCATTCTGCGCCTTATCTTTCCTCTCTCTTGCTTTGACTTGACTTTTTCTTCCCGCCTCCATTTGAGTAGCCTATAAGAGCTGTGGAATATTGATTTTCCATTTCCTCTCCTCATCTTCATGTCCCTGGGGCAGTTCTTGTTCTGCTTTCTCATTTTTCAGTCTAGGGAGCTGCAGAGGTTATGCAGGGATAGTATGAGTTACCCTGATTCTCTGGATGCTCTGAGCTTCTCTAGCCAACCTTTCAAATCCAGTAATCTCTAGTTCTTTCCGAAAGGAAATTGAAAGTGAGGGGAAAAGAGCCCCAGGGAGTGAGAGCTGTCGTGGCCTGTTACAGTCCTTGCTGTCTGCTTTCACTACCTCACAGTTGGTGTCAACTGTTCCCCCGTAGTAAGTGTGATTCTGATTGAGGGGAAGGATGTTGGGAATGAAACGAAAACATTTGGGTAAGTAATGATATTCATACCCATGCTTGATATTTTAAAAGAATTTTCAGCTGTATTGGAATTTTGAATGGAGGCAGCCTGTGCAATTGTGTTGAAGGAATAGGATCTTGTTTTGGTCTTCAAAGTCTAAACATCTCTATAATGCTTACCCCAATCCACCCCTTTTTGAACTATTGTGGTTAGGAAGAAGAGAGCAAGTAGGATTCAGTTCTCTTCAGATTTCACATATAAGAAAATGTATAAGTAACACAGAGCATGTCCCATTGCTAAGCATCCAAATTATTGTATTTTAAATTTAAATTTACATAGCAGACTTAGTCTTACAGACAAGGATTAAGACAAAGCATTCCTGTGATGAATTTAAATCATCATTTAAATGCTCTAAAGACTTGAAGGCAAGTCACACACAGTCTGCTCCACGTTAGGAGAACATGGTAGCAGAAGGGAAGGTTTGGGGCTGATATAGACACAGGACTGGGTTCCATCACAGAGGTTGTCCAGGGAAGGTGTATCCAGTGGGTCTTGAGGGAGCACTTTTAGCATGCATTTAAGTGACAGCACTGACTATGTTAGTTGAAAATGACTCAGTATCCAAGGGTAGGGCCCCTGCTTTAATCAAACCTGAAGAACAAAGTCAATTACAGAAAAAAACAGGGTTGGTACAAGGCCTCTGTTGTTTGGCGTAGGACTGGCTGTTTGTGCTATATGTCCAGAGCTCCCAGTAGAATGAGATTAATGCTGTAACTCAGCACTGCAAAGATTTAACATCTAGGCAAGGAAATGACCTGGCTATGCTAGCAGAGAGGGCCAGCCTTAGGCATGCAACAACACCCACGCCTCTCGCACATTTGGCCCAGCCAATCATAAGTACAGAGAAAATTTCAGAATTGATATTTCTTTGTAAGAAAGTAAAATCCTACAATCAAAGCCACACAGGTTTTTTTTTTTTTTTTAATTTATTTATTTGTGCATACAGAACTAGGGTACAGGCCAGAGGCTCAGGGGCAGCAAGATTCTTCACCTGAGACAGAGTGGGGAGCAGAACAGGCAGATCGACGAAGTACACTGCTGAGGGGAGCAGCGGGCGGGCCAGGAGAGGTCTGCCACGCCATGTGGTCACCTCCGGGGCAGGCGGGAATCGAACTCATGCGGAAGTGGCTTTAGCTTCTCAGTACTGTGCTTTAACCCGCTGCACCACCAGGGAGGGCCAACCACACAGGTTTTACACAGGTGGAAATATGAGTCCTTGTGGTGTGTCTGCTTATCCTGGACCTTGGTGACTGTGACAGATGCAAGGACAGCTCTGATTACACTCTTGTGATACCTTATGATACCATGAAGGTGATAAATGATCAGGTGGGTATCTTAGGATGAGGAAGATTGTTTAGCATAACAACATCTGATTACAAAAGAATGATTTCAAGTATGTTTTAGATCTATTCTTATTTTTACGACTTCATTTCAAAAAATAGTCTTAAGAAAGGAAAAGAAGACAAACTCAAATGTTTGCTCTGCTTATCCAACTGTTTACCAATCTTGTAGACACAACCTTGCTGCTCCATCTCACCTCTGGTAGAGAGAGGCTATTTTAATTAAAGTTATTGAGAAGCTGCAGAAAATACATTAAAATGACTGAATTCTGCGCTGAAAATAAAAATAACCTTAAAAGCAACCTTGTCTGTAATGATTACTTCTTGCAATTTGCAAAGACCCACATAGATGAGTCATGTTTCAAGGAGAATTTCAGGGAAACTTCTACCCAAACCAGTAAACTTAGTGGGTGAAGAGTAAATTCTCTGAGCAAATATTTAATTCGCAAATATCAGTTTCCAATCTTTTCCAGCTGAATCTCTACATACATTTATAGTAGCTTACCTTAACTTTTTATACCCTTAGTGTTTATTACAAAAATGAAAACCTTTCTCCTGATCACTAATCGCCCACTTGGTAGGACTATCACCGAGCTGTCACTTGCTGCTGTCAAAGCCAACACAATCCACTGCAAGCAGACACATCCTGTCACATACATTCTCACGAGAGCAGAAACTGTGTTCTTGTGATGAAATGATTTGATTTCACCAGCTAGAATTTATGTCCTTATAAAGCTATAAAGCAGTGACAGGAACATCTATGTAATTTAGAGAACCAGTCTTTCTTCTTAAAACAACACAAAACTATTTTAATTTCAGAATGATATTATATATAAGGTGAATGAGTTTTTAAAAATCAGTTTGTACAAATATGTTGATTCCACCAGAACAATAAGCTTCTTTAAAGGCTTACTAGTTTAGAAAGTACATTAAGCCTTTAAAGCTCCAAGGTCATATACTTGATAAGTTCATTTCCTAATACCAAGCCTCAATTTTGAGCTTCCAGCCTTTGGGAGCAACCTACATTGATGAGCACTTTGAATGTAGGCCAAAAAAAAAAAAAAAAGATAGCCCATGAATCTAAGCTCTTAACAGAACCTAACAGCCTACCTACATCTCAGGCCCAAGTTTCTGAAAGATCCATAGCTAATGAGGTTATAACTTTGTTCTCTCTTGCTCTTCACTCAAGGCATAACTCAATTCGAAGACAACTCAACCTGTCAAATCCAGACTTCAATATCCAGCAGCTTCAAAAACAGGAACAGTTGACTGGCATTGGTCGAATTAAACCCGAGTTATATAAACAGAGGTCACTGGATAATGACGATGGGAGAAGGAGTAGCAGCAAAGCCTGCGGGAAACTGAATTTCATTTTAAAATATGACTGTGACTTAGAGCAGCTCATAGTGAAGATCCACAAAGCTGTCAACTTGCCCGCCAAGGACTTTTCTGGGACTTCAGATCCTTATGTCAAGATCTATTTGCTTCCTGATCGGAAAACAAAACACCAGACTAAAGTTCACAGAAAGACCCTGAACCCTGTGTTTAATGAGGTGTTTTTGTTCCCGGTGCCCTACAATGACCTTGAAGCACGGAAGCTGCACTTCTCTGTGTATGACTTTGATAGGTTTTCTCGACATGACTTAATTGGCCAAGTGGTGGTGGACCACTTCTTAGACTTGGCAGATTTCCCCAGGGAGTGTATCCTTTGGAAGGATATCGAATATGTCACCAATGTGAGTGCTGCATTTTTTCATTTGGGGGGACTTTTTGGTCAGCATGCAAACAGGTTACTTATATCTTCTTATATTTGGGGGGCAATGTACATATAGCTTTTGCTTTACAAACTCTGCTCATCTTCAGAAATGGGTCGTTAACAATATTCATTTTAAAAATTCCAAGAGTTATTCCTGAAAGCAGTATTAAAGAATAACATTCTCTCCTTTTGGCCTTCTGGTTCCTAGCTGTTCCCTTCTAGAAGGTAGATATTGCTTGCCCTCTTTCCACACTTATTTAGAGCTTTCTCAGGTTGTTTGTGCTAAATGGGTCCCAGCATCCTAGTGACTGTAATCTGCAGCTAAGAAACCATAACTGTGACTCTGAATGTAAGGTCCTTGTCCACATTCTTGGGTCAGCTCAGTCTCATTTTCTATGATCAGATCTCCAGCCTCAGTCCCAGAAGTGAGAATGACTGAGAAGAGATGGCAACACATTTTAAAATACAGAAACCAAGTTATAAGGAATTTAGTCTGAAAAGTACAGGTGGCAAAACTAATCTGTAGAAGGTCAAATCCAATTTGGAACTTGGGAGAAAGGGCAGAAGTGCCATATAGTGATGCCATATATTCATGTTTGCATTTTAAACACGAGACCCTGGTGGTGATATTTTTATTTCATTTGCATCCTTTTCACAAACCTGCAGAGGTGTATTGACAGTCCTGAAATAGAAAGGATAACTGAACGTTCTTAGGGTACTGCTGATATTTTTAAAGCCACTTGTTTCTTTAACCTGTCCAAATTCCCAAAACATGTCATTATCTTGTCTCCTTGAATATGAGCCCTTCTGAAGCTCTGTTTTTCCCCCTCTGCATTCTAAGACATGAAGCACCATAATCATTATTTGACTTTGATGAGGATATAACTTATATGATGAATTATCCCATTCAGTGATAAGGACATTAGTCCTTTTTCACCTCTGCTACTTTTGTGCAGTGGGAACTCACCAACATTTAGCTATTCTAAGGGACATCTCACAGCACAACCACAAGGTACTAGTATTAGTTGCTCTAATAAACAAGTGCGGTATGGGGTTCTGTTGACCTTTATCATAGTGATGAGGAAATTGAAGAAAGAGCTGGAGGTGGTACAGAGAACATTGGGTGATGAGGCTAAGGTGATGTGGAAGATTGGAAAAGGAGCAGAGCTTTTTAGTCTTAAAAGGTTGTGATATTTGTAAACCTAAAAATGGATGCTGGGAAAGCAAAGACTGTATCCTAAATTATAATTGCCCAACTCAGGAGGCAGCATAAGAAGCGTTATAAATACAAAACAGGTAGACTATACTGATATAAATGAATCGAGAATGAACCTCTCACTGGGGTATTAACCAAATATCCTTGAATGTAAGCTGAAGCACTGCCACTGATGAGGCTTGAAATTAAGTATGATCTCAGAGTATGGTAGAAAGAGGTTGGTCATACCATCTAGTGTGATATCAGCTTATATGTTTTTTAATATTTATTTTTATTTATGTGTACAAGATCTGAGTGCAGGCCAGAGTTGTGGGGGTGAGAGGATTCGCTAAAGACAGAGTACATCATAGAACAAAAGGACCTACTGAAATATACTGCTGAGGAAAGTAGCTGGCGAGATCTGTCTGCTGCACCATGTGGCTTACCTCCTCACAGGGAATCAAATTTATGCCACAGTAGATGGCAATAGCTTGTAGCACTGAGACTTTAACCCCTGTGCCACCACGGAGGCCCCCAGTTTATAATTTTTTGACAAATGGATTCTATATCATAGCTGGTATGGTTATTAAAAGTCTTAACAGGAATCCTGCTGTGATTTTCTTCTAGAGACTTTCTAATGAGAACAGCACTGATGCATTGTGGCTAACAGAATTCTGGATAAGACTAATTCCTAGTGCGAAAGCCTCCTCTAGCAGTTTCCGTGTGGGCCTCTAGTGTAGAAGGCCAGCCTGCAGATTCCTTCAGATCACTGCCATCTTAGTGCTCCTCTGGGACAAAGAACTTCTCATCTGTTGTTGGAGAATCCTAGATTTTCATTGAGTTGAGGATAAATTAAATTGTTTATCAAGGAAGAAAAGCAATAAGGATAAAGGTCTCCAAATTTTCACTTGTTTCCTCAAACAATAATCATTTTGAACATCAGGTTAGGCCTTGGATAACCGATAGAAGATGGGAGGTCCTGAGAATGGAATTGCAGATTATTTCATGATCTGCCATCTGTTTTCTAAAACTTCACATTAAAAATTATTATTGAGGGTTGTTTTACTGTGCTGTTTGGAATGTGAGTCTATAGAGACTGAGCATAGAGGTGTGAGATTTGCCAATATTCAATTTTCATAGCACAGTGTGTATATTACACAGGGTTTATAATGCGTATGCACTGATTCAGGGAATCATTCGATGAATAGATGTGAATGTGTTGAAGAATAGTGCAGCATCCCTTCTTTGCTGACCCTTGGGTGGTACTCCCTCATCACAGTCCCTCCCAGTCGGCTGCTGCCAAGGGAAACCACCACGTTGTATTTTGTTTGTGTTGAGACCTATTTGTAAGACAATGTAATATTTGGCCTTGTCTGTTTCTGCCTTTCAGAGCTTTAATTTGACTGGGGCTATTTTTCAGTTTACATTGACTGTGACATTTAACAAAATCAATGAATAAGGCTATATTTTATGTTCTTTGATTGGCAAAATATTCCATCTTAGTGTATATAACAAATTAGTTTTCTTTCATTGATAATAGGTGGGTTATTAATTTCTGGTCATTCTGAATAACACTACAGCAAACATTTTTGTGCTTATCTACTAATTCATATGCTTGCTAATTTACTCAGGATATATTTCAAGTGGAGGTAAGGTAGACAGACTGTCAACTTTTTAAACCATTCTAAGATCTTTACTGCAGTAATTGTACAAATTCATTCTCACTGATAACGGACAGTAGTTCCTAATGCAAAAAAAAAATTCACCACTCTTGGCATTTGCCACACTGTTTTAATATGTGTGTGCAAGTGTGCATGTAAAATGGCTGATAATTTGCATTTCCTTGGTTGTCAAGGTTAATCATCTTTTGATATGTTTATTGATCATTTCCTTTCCTTTTTCATGACCTACTTGCTCAGCAATTTTTCTTCTGTTTTCTTTATTGATTTACATGTTCTTTATCTGGTCTGGATGCAGATATTTTGTTGGATATGTGTATTATGTCATTTTGGCTGACTTGCTGGCATCTTTTGATCAGTAGAGGGTCTTGTGTTTCATGCAGTAAAGCATATAACTTTTTCCATTGTTAGCCCTTTTATATCTTGGTTCAGAAATTTATTTTTACTTGATCATAAAAACAGACTTATTAGAGCTCCTGCAATCTAAATGTATAAAACTGAGATGGAGGAGCCATAGGATATTCAACCAAGGTCATAGAGCTGAACAGTTCTCAAATAGAAATCAAGACTAAGTGTTTCAACAGTTAATTGAGGCACTGATGGAAAGCTGTCTCAAACATATTTACTTTACAAGAGTACTTCTTTTTACCCTCTGACCTGACCTGGCCAGCTCCTACAATGCTCTTAGTTTCTAGCTAAATGCCTCTTCCTCAGAGAATTCTTGTCTGAGCTCAGGACTGGGATGGACTCTTCTGGCATTTGCTTCCATGGCACTCTGTACTTCTGTCATTACTCATCAGACTTTCTTTTATGTATTTGTTCAATTTTCTTGATTCCCCATTAGATGGTTCTATGAGTGCACAGAACATATCTGTGTTCCCAGGCTCAGTGAAATAATTAATAAGCACTTGCTGAATAAAATGAAGCTCCTAAGAGCTAATTTGGTGAGACTCAAGGGACTGATTTGATTGGGAAACTAATCTTTTTTGTTTTATTCTTTATTCCTCCAAGGAGATAATGAGTTTTATTAATGTAAGCAGCCAAATAAAAATTATCTTTACACCTTCTTATGAAGGAACAGAATAGCAGTTTTGGGTGTATAAATCATAGTTTTTAATTAAACATCTCAAATACTGAAGTCAGACCAATTAGTAAGTGCGCTATATCTCTGTAGGGATACCAATCAACAAGAGCAATGGAGAGAAGGTCAAGGCTAGGAAAGATCTTTTGGCCAGAACCACCATCTCCCAGTAAGTTGCCAAGATGACCAACACATAGGGAAAGAGAGGAGACTTCCCCTCTGATCTCCAGAGCTTGTAGGATACAGGGAGTTGTTTCTTTGACCATAGACTCACAATCTACAGGCAAGGTGATACTTAAATGTCAGAGGAATGGGCCCTGCTCTAAAAGGAAAGCCCCCTACACATCACTGTGGCAAAACTGGAGCATCTATAATGCTACCCACATGTGGTTGGCACTGTTGAAAGCAAACAAGGGCAAGATTATTGCCAAGATAACAAATGTTTGTATAGAGCATATTAAGCACTCTGAAAGTCGAGACTGCTTCCTCAAGTGTGTGAAAGAAAATGGTCAGGAAAAAAAAAAAAGGAAGCCAAAGAGAAAGGTACTTGATTCAACTGAAGTGCCAGCCTCCACCCAGAGAAGCACTTTGTGGACCCATGGACAGGAGCCTGAGTTGCTTAAACCCATCCCTTGTGGAATCATGGCATGGTCAGTATCAAAAACAAAAAACAAAAAAAGCCACTGGACTCTAAGAAAAAAGTTGAGAAAGCTGAGTTTAGTGGTCTGGGTGAATGTTAGCCTCTGTGTCTATGCTCTTGACATTTTTAGCATACCATACTTAACATCGGCTCCCTGGTAAATAGGCACGGAAAGCTTCAACAATCTCCCTTGGCGGCTGGCTCAGAATCTGATTTAACAACCTTCTTTGGAAGCTGCTATCATCTTAGCGAAACTTATTTGAACAAGATGGCATGGTTCCCATGTGATCACAGCAGACATCCTGAGAAGTTCCCCGTATCAGGATCCAATGTGGATCCCAGTTCAGAAAGAGTAAGGTTGCATTTTATAATGACATGAACCTTT